GGAAAGTGGGTGCGGGAGCGAAGAGGAGCGATTGGTGGAATGATTGATGTAAAGAGAGTAGTAAGGGAGAAAAAGTTAGCATATGAGAAGTTTTTACAAAGTAGAAGTGATGCAAGGAGGGAAGATATATGGAGAAAAAGAGAGAGGTTAAGAGAGTGGTGAAGCAATGTAAAAAGAGAGCAAATGAGAGAGTGGGTGGGATGTTTATCAACAAATTTGTGTGAAAATAAGAAAAAGTTTTGGAGTGAGATTAACAAGTTAAGAAAGCTGGAGAACAATGGATTTGTCAGTTAAAAAAAGGAGAGGAGAGTTATTAAATGGAGAGTTAGAGGTATTGGAAGATGGAGGGAATATTTTGAGGAATTGTTAAATGTTGATGAAGATAGGGAAGCTGTGATTTCGTGTATAGGACAAGGAGGAATAACATCTTGTAGGAGTGAGGAAGAGCCAGTTGTGAGTGTGGGGGAAGTTCGTGAGGCAGTAGGTAAAATGAAAGGGGTAAGGCAGCCGGGATTGATGGATAAAGATAGAAATGTTAAAAGCAGGTGGGGATATAGTTTTGGAGTGGTTGGTGCAATTATTTAAAAAATGTATGGAAGAGGGTAAGGTACCTAAGGATTGGCAGAGAGCATGCATAGTTCTTTGTATAAAGGCAATAGGGGAAATAAAGAGAGTGCAAAATTATAGGGGGATAAGTCTGCTGAGTATACGGGTTTAAAGTGTAAAAGTAGAGTTATTATTGAAAGAATTAAGAGTAAGACGGGAATAGGATAGCAGATGAACAAGGAGGGCTTTAGGAAAGGTAGGGGGTGTGTGGACCAGGTGTTTACAGTGAAAATATAAAGTGAACAGTATTTAGATAAGACTAAAGAGGTCTTCGTGGCATTTATGGATTTGGAAAAGGCGTATGACAGGTGGATAGGGGGGCAATGTGCAGATGTTGCAAGTGTATGGTGTAGGAGTAGGTTACTGAAAGCAGTGAAGGTTTTTACGAGGATAGTGAGGCTCAAGTTAGAGTATGTAGGAAGAGGAAATTTTTTCCCAGTAAAAGTAGGCCTTAGACAAGGATGTGTGATGTCACCGTGGTTGTTTAATATATTTATAGATGGGGTTGTAAGAGAGTAAATGCGAGGGTCTTGGCAAGAGGCGTGGAGTTAAAAGATAAAGAATCACACAAAAGTGGGAGTTGTCACAGCTGCTCTTTGCTGATGAACACTGTGCTCTTGGGAGATTCTGAAGAGAAGTTGCGGAGATTGGTGGATGAATTTGGTAGGGTGTGAAAAAGAAGAAAATTAAAGGTGAATACAGGAAAGGGAGTAAGGTTATGAGGATAACAAAAAGATTAGGTGATGAAAGATTGAATATCAGATTGGAGGGAGAGAGTATGGAGGAGGTGAATGTATTCAGATATTTGGGAGTGGACGTGTCAGCGGATGGGTCTATGAAAGATGAGGTGAATCATAGAATTGATGAGGGGAAAAGAGTGAGTGGTGCACTTAGGAGTATGTGGAGACAAAGAACTTTGTCCTTGGAGGCAAAGAGGGGAATGTATGAGAGTATAGTTTTACCACACTCTTATATGGGTGTGAAGCATGGGTGATGAATGTTGCAGCGAGGAGAAGGCTGGAGGCAGTGGAGATGTCATGTCTGAGGGCAATGTGTGGTGTGAATATAATGCAGAGAATTCGTAGTTTGGAAGTTAGGAGGAAGTGCGGGATTACCAAAACTGTTGTCCAGAGGGCTGAGGAAGGGTTGTTGAGGTGGTTCGGACATGTAGAGAGAATGGAGTGAAACAGAATGACTTCAAGAGTGTATCAGTCTGTAGTGGAAGGAAGGCGGGGTAGGGGTCGGCCTAGGAAAGGTTGGAGAGAGGGGGTAAAGGAGGTTTTCTGTGCGAGGGGTTTGGACTTCCAGCAGGCATGCGTGAGCGTGTTTGATAGGAGTGAATTGAGACAAATGGTTTTTAATACTTGACGTGCTGTTGGAGTGTGAGCAAAGTAACATTTATGAAGGGGTTCAGGGAAACCGGCAGGCCGGACTTGAGTCCTGGAGATGGGAAGTACAGTGCCTGCACTCTGAAGGAGGGGTGTTAATGTTGCAGTTTAAAAACTGTAGTGTAAAGCACCCTTCTGGCAAGACAGTGATGGAGTGAATGATGGTGAAAGTTTTTCTTTTTCGGGCCACCCTGCCTTGGTGGGAATCGGCCAGTGTGATAATAAAAAAATAAAATTCCTACTCATTGTCAGTCTCCACTCATTAATGGTCCAATTCTACAAGCTTGCATATCTCTATCTATCTATTCACAAAGAACCCACACATAGAAGAGAGGAGCTTACGACGACATTTCAGTCTGACTTGGACAATTTACAAAGTCACACTCTGTAAATAGTCCAAGTCGGACCGAAACGTCGTTGTAAGCTCCTCTCTTCTATGTGCAGGTTATTTGTGTATCGCTCCAGTTACGGTATTGTGCCTTTTTTTATCTATCTATCTATCTATCACTCACTCTCTCTCTCACTCACCCTCTCTCCCTCACCCTCTCTCCCTCACTCACTCTCACTCACTCACACTCACTCTCACTCACTCACTCTCACTCATCCTTTCTTTTTTTATTCTACATGAGCAAGTGGAGAAGAATCCTTCCTCAGTAAGCCATATTATGTCATAAGAGGCAACTAAAATGCCAGGAACAAGGGGCTAGTAACCCCTTCTGTATAAATTATTAAGTATAAAAAGAAGAAAAACTTTTTGAAAGCAGTTCTTTTTCGGGTCACCCTGCTTAATGGGAGATCGCCAGTGTGTTAAAATAAAAAATATCCATTTTTTCCAAGAATTTCACAATAATGCTTGTCTGCAAGAAAGGCCGATATAGTTGAAGGTATTCTCTTTGTCACCTTTTTAAAATATTGGCACAAAGTGTCATTTTCCATTTGTACAAGTAAACCATCTTTTTCAAAAAGAAAAACTTAGTTTACCTGTACATATTTTAACCCTTTCAGGGTCTGTCCCATAGATCTATGCTTTGAAGCCAGGGTCCAAGCTGTAGACCTATGCCAAAATTCTAGCCGCTTCAAATTTAGAGTGAGAAGGCTGGTTGGCCTACATCTAAGAGAATGGGTCTGTATGGTCAGTATGAGCAGTAAACAAAAAATCAGGGCACCTGCATTGCATTGTGGGAACATCATCTCAATATGCTTTGTTCATCAAGATTGGCAGCAAGGAAGGTCTCACTCCCCAGCAAATTCTGACTCTCCTCTTCCTAAGTTATAGTTCTAACACTGATGGAAGTGGATCTGAAAAGGAATTCTATGGTTTTGAACGATATGGTACATTGTACCATATAGTTCAAAACCATAGAATTCCAGTGGTACCATATAGTACAATGGTACCATATGGTACAATGTATCATATGGTACATTCTACCATATGGTACATTGCACCATATGGTACAGGGAGCCTAATGGAAATAAGTCACTTTGTCTGAATTTTTTTGGAGTTATCCTAGGTTCTCCACACATATGCTGCTATATATGATAATCTATGTTACTGTATTTGTGTATGCCTGAATAAACTTACTTAAGATGCCACATGCGTTCGAGTAAGTTTATTCAGGTATACACAAATAGTTACAAAGGTTATCATACATAGCATATGTGTAAAGATCCTAGGATAACCCAAAAAAGTCAGTGACTTATTTCCATTGGGGTCCCTGTATCTGTACCATATGGTACATTGTACCATATGGTACAATGTACCAATGGTACTCTATACCACATGCAATTCCAAGGGGACTGAGTACATCCAATGGCCCTACACCTGAAACAGACAGTGAAAGTGACGATGATGTGGCTACAAATGGGAGAGATAGACCACATGCATCAGTAGGTGGTGGTGGTGCCACGAGTATGCAGCACCAGCCCAGACTGGGAGTGAGTCTGGGACCCAAGACGCTGACTCAGTAGTTCCAGGACAAAGAGCATTGTCATCCACCAGTGGAAGGAGACGACTGTGGCTGAATTGCATTTTTTTTTTTGCAACAACAATGCTTATGCCTCATGTCTATAAGCATAATATAAAATCATACTGGTCCACAGATGAGTAAGACACCACTGTGCATGACACCTTGTTTCAAAGACTTTCACAGACTGAAGCAGTTCCAGGAACATGTCCAGTAACTGTATGTATGTAAATATAGAACATTATTAATGTAAATTATTTTTGCATGGTTTTTGTTGTAAACAATTATTGTTAGCAAAATATTGATGAAAATATTAGTGGGGTTATTGTGTTGAATACAATGTGTGTACATATATACATTATGCATTATATTGGGCTCACAGGCTACAAGTGTTACTGATAAAAACAAAATTAGAAAAGAAAAAAGAAACAAAACGGTAAAATAAAAACAATGCGACTTCACAGAAGTCGCGGATGTTGCTACCACAGGGTTATTGAGGGTCAACTTCACACCTCTATATCTTAGAAAGTACTGATCAGAAAAAAACAAAAATTTGTTTTACCTACAGAAAAATATCTAATTCCGTAAGAATTTTTGTTTTTTGTTTTGTTTTTAATTCTTGGACCCTGGCTGTCACTCTGAGATTCGGCCTCTGGACCCTGAAAGAGTTAAGACCCATGGTGATAACTCATCTGGCCCTACTGATTTTTTCTTGTCTACATCCAGTAGTAGCACCTTAGCCTCAGTTTCTTATAGTTCAGTATCTACCTAGCAACTAAAAGATTATTTTTTAACATGCATGTCCTTCTTGGTGTGCTTGTGAAATGCTTGTTTATAAAAATATAATGGCCATTAAAACAGTCTGAACCAAACTTATTACCTGAGTCTTTGGGAAGTGATAAGCCACACTGTTGCCCTAAATCACTGGTTCAGATAGATGTATTAATCAGTGGCACACTGTTGCACCACCACCTTGTACCTCCATATTCTTGCTTGCAAGGTGTAGAAATGTAATCCCACAAAATGGATGCTAAATTCTTACCTAATGCTTGAAGGCGACATTCTAGGTAAGGAACAAGAGCAACAGCACACTTTGCTCCTCCAGACTCCCTGAAGACTGCAGCATTTTGACTGTTTCCTGAGAGGAGCAGTGTCAAAGCCTCCATGACAAGGAAACCCAATTTCTCCTCCAAGTCACTGTCTTCACCTTGGTGAAAGACATTATTTGTTACTTTCATTCAAGTTGTAATGAGGTTTAATATAAAGCCGACAACACAGTATAATGGTTGCCAAATAATACAGCCCTCAAATAAATAAATAAATAAATAAATAAAAAAAAAAGATACAGAAAAATGATTAAGCAAACTGAAATTCAACACATATGACATACACAATACACATCAAAGAAAATTTTTAACACAAAAGGCTAATACAGTGGACCCCCGGATAACGATCAGCTCCCAACTCGACCAATTATGTAATTTTATTTTTGTAAGTGCTTTTGTAGGTGTATTTTTAGGGGTCTGAAATGGACTAATCTAATTCACAATATTTCTTATGGGAACAAATTCGGTCTATAACGGCACCCAAACAGACTTCTGGATTGAAATAATATCGTTATGCGGGGGTCCACTGTACAGTGGAACCTCGGCTTACGAACTTAATCCGCTCTGTGGACTTGTTCGTATCCTGATTTGTACATATACTGGGTCAATTTTCCTCATTTAAATTAACTGAAATGCAATTAATTTATTCCAGCTAAATTCCTGCTCTCAGGAGGCATGACAATATAACCCTAATACCAATTCTACGATTTATTTATGTTCCAGAAATTCAGCCTAAAACCAAAATGGCCAAAAACCGAAATAATATTTCCCATAAGAATTAATGTAAATACAATTAATCCGTTCCAGGCATCCAAAAATATTAACAAAAAATACATACATTAATGATTAACTATAGTTTTACATACACAAAACAATGAGAAAGAAATATAAAGCACTAATTTTACTAATAAATGAACATTACATACCTTTATTGAAGACTTGTTGGCATATGGAAGAAGGCAAGGAGGGGTTACTTCCTTTCTTTGTCTTTTACTGCCACTAGGACCAGTTTGAGAGTCACTGCACCCCTGTCACACAAAAAAACTGTCCACTCCCTGCCAGTCTGCTATACTCCTTGCTACACTCCCTCCCTGCCTGCTACACTACCTGCATGCCTACTACACTCCTTGCCTTCCTGCTACACTCCCTGCATGCCTGCTACACTCCCTGCATGCCTGCTACACTCCCTGCATGCCTCCTACACTCCCTGCATGCCTCCTACACTCCCTGACTTCCTGTTACACTCCCTGCCTTCCTGCTACACTTTGTGCATGCCTGCTACACTCCCTACATGCCTGCTAAACTCTCTGCCTTCTTGCTATACTCCCTGCCTTCCTGCTACACTCCCTGCATGCCTCCTACACTCCCTGCCTTCCTGCTACACTCCCTACCTTCCTGCTGCACTCCCTGCATGCCTGCTACACTCCTTGCCTCTATGCCTGCCTGTCTTGAATTCTATCGTGTTTCTCACTTTCTTTACCAAAGGAACTTTACTAGGAACTTTCTTTGGACCCAGGGTTGCTTATTTTGCAGTTGCCCTCAATCAATAACCACAAAAAAACAATGTTTGGATGAATGCATGGAGGCTTCCTCACTCACCCAGAGACAGCCAAACTGCTTCACGAATGCGACAGAGCAGTGGGTGGACGCATCCAATACGGCCAATAACTGAAATAATGGCCGATAACTGGGATAGAAATTCGGCCAAGAAAGCGGGCGAAAACGGAATTGGCCAATATCCAGAATGGCTGATAACCAAAGATCCACTGTAACATTAGAAACCTGATATACACTCTAGAATGAATAAAATATATCATTATGTGGACAGCGGAGGGAGGAGGATTGTGGTTGTGAGAGTGGTCGCTCATTCTCCCTATGAAAATGTCAGAGGTGTTATTGTAAGAGAAAATGGAGTTTGAGAGGCTAACTTAATTAGATCTGGTGTACATACGACATTTACATACCTTGGAGAAGAAATGAAGACAGCATATCCTGTCAGGAGTTCACACTTTTCTTAACCCTTTGACTGTCCAGGCCGTATATATACGTCTTACGAGGTACAGTGTTTGACGTATATATACTCATAAGTTCTAGCGGCTTCAAATCAAGCAGGAGAAAGCTGGTAGACCCACATGTGAGATAATGGGTCTGTGTGGTCAGTGTGCACCTTTATATAAAAAATCCTGGAACACGCAGTGCATAATGAGAAAAAAAACTGACTGTTTTTTTAATTAAAATGCCGACTTTGTGGTCTATTTTCGTATAGTATTTATGGTTGTATTCTCGTTTTCTTGGTCTCATTTGATAGAAAGGAAAATATATTATAGAAATAGAGGTGATTTTGATTGATTTTACTTTAAAAGGATCCTGGAAATGGAGCTCAAAGCACGGGAAATGTTTGATTTTTGCCGATGTTCAAAAGTAAACAAATGATGTCATTGTCCAATAAATTTCCAACTAGCCATTCTAATATGCAGTCATGAATGGGTTGATGTTATTTATACAATTATTACAGTATTGCAATAGTCTGCATAACAGTAAATCTTCTATTTTTTGTTTGAATAAAAATTCAAAATAGAAAGCAAGAGTAATATCACAAGGGTCTGGAGACATGACTGATGAACAAAGAAAATGTTATTTTAGAGCGAGGAATGTCTGCATTGTTCATTCTGGTCCTTATTTTGAAATTGTAATATTTTTTAATTTTAGTGAAATTGGCCAAATTGCAAATTTCTGACCACGTTATTGGGTAGTTGAAATCGGTAAATGGGTAGTTTCTTGTACTCAATCGATAGAAAAAATGGAGTTCTAAAGAAATAGCTATGAGTTTGGTCGACTGGAACAATGGAATTAGCCGAAAGTACCGCTCAAAGTGGGCGAAATCGCCGATTTGTAAATATCACTGAGGTCGCTAACTTCGCGAGAGCATAATTCTGTCAGTTTTCCATCAAATTTCGTTTTTTTGGTGTCATTACAATTGGGGAAAGATTCTCTATCATTTCACAAGAAAAAATAATTTTTTTTTTTAAATTTTGCGACACCAGGAGACACCTCAGGATTGGGGGTTGCGACAGTCAAGGGGTTAAGAACTGCTATGTACAATTTTTATGTTTACAGTGGACCCCTGACCAATGAAGGCATCGTCTAATGAAAAAATCGCCTAACAAAGCATTTCAGCATAAAAATTTTGGCCTAACCAACGAAGAAAAACTCGACTAACATCATTCATCCCAAACGCGTCCACGTGTCCATCTGGCCTGAGCGCGCCTTAGCTGTTCTGCCTTCAGTTAGTGTTCCAGTGTTTACAAGCCAGTGCGATTGCTTCCACACATACATTCAGTACATTTTGTATTATTCCAGTGTTTTTAGTGCTTGTAACTGCTAAATAAGCCACCATAAAGCCAAAGAAAGCTTCTAGTGCCAACCCTGTGGTAAAAAGGGTGAGAACTACAATCGAAATGAAGAACGAAATAATAATAAAGTATGAAAGTTGAGTGCGTGTCTCTGACCTGGTCAGGTTGTATAACAAACCCCAATCAACCATCGCTACTATCTTGGCCAACAGAAAGGCAATCAAGGAAGCTGTTGTTGCGAAAGGTGCAGGTATGTTTTCGAAACAGAGATCGCAAGTACAGTGGGCCCCCGCCTTATGAACGCATCGCATTACGTTAAATCCGCCATACAAAGCATTTGAACGCAAAAATTTCGCCTCGCCTCACGATAAAAAACTTGCCTTACCTGATTCATCCGGGACGCGTCCCACATGTGGCCTCAGCGCCAGTGTTTACAAGCCAGCCAGTGCAGTCGCATCTACAAATACATTCAGTACATTTCACATTATCCCAGTGTTTTTATTGCTTGTAACTGCAAAGTAAGTCACCATGGACCCCAAGAAAGCTTCTAGTGCCATCCCTGTGGTAAAAAGGGTGAGAATTAGTATGGAATTGAAAAGAGAGATTAAGGAAATGTGTGTAAAGTGGGTTGAACTGCAAACCTTTACGGATGAAAATCACCCTGGCACAGCTACTGCAAGCAGTGTTGGCAACCTGTACAATGACAATGTTATGGCCCATTTTAGGAAAGTCTTAAAGGAACGGGAGGTACAGAGCTCTATGGACAGATTTGTTGTGCAACAGAGGTCCAGTGACCTTAAAGCTGGTCCTAGTGGCAGTAAAAGAAGAAGGAAAGTAACCCTGGAAAAGGACTTGCTACCTCAAGTCCTAATGGAAGGGGATTCCCCTTCTAAACAATAACTTCCACACTCTCCCCTCCTCCCATCCCATCAATCATCACCTGATCTTCAATAAAGGTAAGTGTCATGTATTCTATTCTTAGTAGAGTAGTAATTGTGCATGTCTTCTTCAGTTTGTGTGTATTAACCCTTTTAGTGTTTCTGACGTACTAGTATGGCTTACGCACCAGGGTTTTTGACGTACTAGTATGCCTAAATTCTAGTGACCTCAAATCTAGTGAGAGAAAGCTGGTAGGCCTACATATGAAAGAATGGGTCTATGTGGTCAGTCTGCACAGTATAAAAAAATCCTGCAGCACACAGTGCGTAATAAGAAAAACAAAAACTTTGATAGTGTTTTTGGTTTAAAACAGTGACTTTGCACTGTATTTTCGTATGGTATTTATAATAGTATTCTAGTTTTCCTGGTCTCATTTTACAGAATGGAAGACATATTACAGAAATTGAGACGATTTTCATTGGGTTTACAATGAAAAATACCTTGAAATTGAGCTGAAAGTAGCAGAAATCTTTGATTTTTGCCAAAGTTCAAAAGTAAACAAATCATGCTATGTGTCCACTACACGTCAACTGGCAAGTCTAACATTCTTTCACAAGTGTGCTGATATTATTTATACCATTTCTACACTAATGCAGTAGTCTGCATAACAGTAAATCTTCTATTTTTTGTGAGAATAAAAATTCAAAGTGGAGAGCAAAAAAATGTAGGAGATGCGTGGGAATGTGACTAATGAAGAGAGGAAATGTTATTTTAGTGCCAGGAATGTCTTTCTTGTTTATTCTGGACCCTATTTGGAAATTGGCATCTTTTGAAATTTGTGTGAAATTGGCAAAATTGCTAAATTCTGA